CATTTTTGTCAAAGAACCTTTTCACTTCAGCTCTGTTAGTAAATCCCCAACTCTTTGCAGCTTCATTGAACTTCTTAAATGACCTCCATGGATGTTGTTCGAATACTTCTTTCAAGCTCATTTATGTAAAGTTAAAGATTTTATTCAAGGCTCAAGCGCGTTCATTGAACTCTATACCATGCGAATATAGTCACAAATGGTGGCATATAATCTGCACCCGAGCCTGTTGGATTTGTTGTGAAAGTGTGTGAATGATTTCCTGTGGTTCCACAGAAAATACCTGCGCTTGAATCTACTGGGTCACTTGAAATATAGGGTGTCCAAAGGTGTGTTTAGCACAAACCTGGATACTGCGAATAGAAATAAACAAGTTACATATATATAAAGTTTATTTAAATATAATCACCATTGGATTCAATCACGCGTTCGCAGCGATCGATCCAGGCTTGAAAGACACGCTTTAAATCATCATGAGAAAATTGCTCAAATTGCTCTCTTACAAAATTTTCAAGATCATCTGGACTCGCGAATTCGCGTCCTTCAGCTCTCTTTTTTAGCGTGCCGAATAAATAAAAGTCAGAGGGTGCAATATCAGGTGAATAAATTGGGTTTGGAACAACTTTGACATTGTTTTCCACCAAGTAATTCATTACCTTATGACTTTTGTGAACTCTTGAATTATCAAAATGAATTGCAAACTTTTGTTTTTGTTGTTTGGATTTCTCAAACTCATCAGAATTGATAATTTGAGTAAGAACATTGTCAATTAGATACTGAGCATTCATCGTATTAGGTTTTTGAAGAATATCAATTGCGATGATGCCATTCACGCCCCAAAAAACCGACAACATCATCATTGGTGTGTCAATTTTTTTCTTCGGGAATGTTTGCGGATTTTCATCCTTCGGGATCCACATGATTTTGGCTTCTGCTGCATATTGAAACCAAGACTCATCCCCTGTTACTAAAAAGCGAAACTTCTTGGATTGATACGCACCTAATATAGAGAGGAGCTCTTTCGAAGATTGGACTCTAGATTTTTTTTGAACTGAATTAAGGTTGTGCGGAACCCAACGTGTATACGCTAGTTTGTAGTTCAAATAATTGTGCAGATAATAACTGACTGTTGTACGTGGTATCTTTGTCATCTCCTCTATCCTTCTGAGTGATGCTCTTGGGTCTTCATCTAGCGCTTGAAGAATTGCTTTGATTTTTCTTTGATCCGGCGATTTTTTGTCAATTTTTATGATGGGCGCCTTTTTGTTCATGAAGTGATACATCCTAACATGATACGTTACAGTGGAATAGCTAGGAGCATCCATACCGAAGCATTTTACCAATGTCTCGTAGATTTTTTTACAGTCTTTGCATTTTTTTGCAAGGGCGAGGATGTTTTCTTTATGATTCATTAAAAAAATGAAAAAAATCCCGCCAAAATTTCCCGCGAAACCGCCTCTTGTCTCAAAATTCATTTTATATCCCGGCATGGCGCCAAAATACAACATACTCATCATATACATATATTCATATTTTTTATTATATATTTATAATCAGCATATATCTCCTTTAATAGTCTCATATAGAGCGCTGTGCTAAACGCACCTTTGGACACCCTATATCTCATTGACGCACTGATAGACCCTCAAAACTGTGTTGAAAGTTCTTTAAGCTTTAAGATTGAAGGTACGACGCATTTTGTCTTCACTTACGTATTGAAAGAATATGACCGTTATCATAACGAAGTGAATCAAACACTAATAAAATTTGTAGATAAAAAATTGGATGAATATTTTAAACGTGAAGACTCAAACACCGCTGGAGATGATGAAGAATACAGACAAGTTATTGAAAAAAATAACGCAAGATTAGATGCAATAGAAAGAAGTTTAATGAATGTCTTACAAACACGTATGAATATCTTATGCGGTGGGAAGCCAGATGGAAATAAATTTACGTCAAATATGCAATTTATAAAATCTTATGTCGACAGGCTACGTAGCACAGTGGTCTAAGGTGGTGTTATGGAGGGGTCAGGGTCTGTGGTTCGAACCGCGGCAGCGCCGTATTTTCTTATTTTCTTTGTTTGTCTTGTTTGTCGTGAATAAAAAGTATCATAAAAGTGCTCTATCTTCCACGGGAATAAATAAAAAATTTACTTTATTTCTTCTTTATTTCTTTGTTCCCGTGGAAGAAGGGTTTTGCTGTTTTTTTTCTCAGCCGAAATCAATGATTTTTTCATTTTTGGAATCCTTAGCGAATGAGGAATCTTTTCTCTCGTGGAAGCTTTGACCAAAAATAATTTTTAGGTGAAGAGGTGAGATCTCACCTGTTTTTTCACCTCTTTTTTCACCTCTTTTTTCACAAGCGTTTTACATGAATTATACGATGTATATTTGAAATCCTAAACAATTTCGTAGCTTCTATTTCTTCGCTGAGGATATCAAAAGTTTTAACAATGCCGAAGGTTTCTTTATATTTCTTCTTGACGTCAGACAGAAGGAAATCTTCTGCTGTTGGATAGTTTTTATTAAGAAATGTCAACATATCCATTTTATCTTCTGCTGGCTTTTCTGCTTCTTTCTTTAAGTCTGCATAGTCGTTTCGCATCTCTTTCTATCTCTTTGACTGAGTAGTTTATATTTTTCTTATTGCTGCTTTACATTTTGAACATTGCGGCATCGTTTTGCGTTATACATTGAAATAAACCAGCTAGAACAACTAAGGCGTCAATGGTTTTCTTTAACTCAAAAGCTGCTGGTTTTATCTGTTCATTCCATACTTTACCTCTTCTATCTTTATCTCTTATCTGCCATACACATTTTGCAACTAATGAAACAAAGTTATCGTATGTCTTAAATTCTTCGGATTTGTAAAGGTCAGAAATATTTTTATAAACCATGTCGCAATCTTTGTCCATAACTTTATGGTTGCAATGAAAACCAAGGAATTCATAATTTACTTTACGTATGAATTTCTTAATTTCTACTGAGTCAGTTGCTTTGACTTCAATTTCGTCGAATTCAGGAATAGTTAGTTTTTGCTGCTGAATTTCAGGTAGTTTAGGCAAATGGTCGATGAGGTCCTCCATTTCATAAAGATACTGTTCATTTGTTTCATCTTTCGCACTACAGTCTAAATTACTTGTTGTGAAAGTGTGTGAATGATTTCCTGTGGTTCCACAGAAAATACCTGCGCTTGAATCTACTGGGTCACTTGAAATATCATATCTATTCATTCCCTGTCTATCCGAACCTGCTGCAAGATTTGTATAACCTCTTTTTGTTATTGAATGTGAATGACTACCTGTTGTGTTTGTCGTTCCTGTATGAGTGTGCGGTGGAAGGTTTGCTTCTTTAATTTTCTTCGAACCTCCTGTTTGTTTTGAAGAGTTAGCACAGTATAAGAATTTATCTACAATCTGCTTCCACGTACCAAAACCTAAAACTGTTGCTGGATTTGTTGAATTCATTGACGTATAAATAGAGCCTATAGGATATAATGTTTGAAGTATTTCAGTCAGTCTTTAATGTTTGAAGCTCTGTTTTGTCTGCTTTCTTATCTAACATTGCTGGTAGTTCATATACTTCAAAGTTTCTGGCATGACCTTCGATATTCCTGCAACTGTTATCTAAATTGTTAAGAGTATCTTTTACGCTTGTACTCGGATTCTCTAAAGGTGCACTTGAACCCAAATCATAGTTCAATATTATGTCGTCTGCACTAACAGTAGTGAAGGATTTATGTGTATGTTCTTTGTCAGCTTTCTTATCTAACATTGCTGGTAGTTCATGTGTTTCAAAGTTTCTGGCATGACCTTCAATGTTCATACATTTACTATTTAAGGAGTTTAGTGTATCTTTTACGCTTGTACTTGGATTCTCTAAAGGTGCACTTGAACCAAGGGTATAGTTCAATATTATGTCGTCTGCTCTAACAGTAGTGAAGGATTCATGTGTATGGTTCTTGTCGGCTTTACTGTCTAATGTAGCTTGAAGTTCATTTATATCGGAGATGTTGTGTTTATGAGATTTCAAAACTTTGTTCATTGCTTCGAGTTCAACTTTGTCAGCTTTACTTTTAATAGCATCTTCAAACGTTATTTTTGACTTAACTCTCAAAGTAAATCTTGGTTCAACTAATACACCTTTAACAGAGAAAGTAGAGGCATAAATTTCATCGTTATAACTAAATGCTTCTAGCGCTTTACCCGTGTCATAATGTACAGTACAGCTTATGTCATAACCTTTAGCACGAATGTATTTATATCATCTTTCATTTAACATCTTCAGTGCTTATTTGTTCATCCTGTGTTAAATATCCATGGTAGTCCGTTATAATCTGTTCGTCTGAAGTTATATAATGAACGTGGTTCTTGACTTTATCACTCAGAGCTAAAAGCTCATTTTTGTCTGCTTTTTCGGCTAATTTCTCATTAACATCATTCACTTCTAATTCAACTCTTCCGCCAGAACTCTTATTATCATTAATCTTTTTCATTAATTCGGTAATTACGTCATAAAGACTATATTCTGTTTTCGGTTTTGTAAATAATGAGTCAAAATTTCTTTTCATCATTACATCGCTGACATTAATGATATCACCAATTCCTTTTTCATTTATTCTCTTCATTAATTCTGCAATAATGACGAATATATAATCTGTTAATTTATTCTCTTCATCGAGGGTTATAGAATGTTTTGAAATTGAATCATTAACTCCTCTAAATAAATCAATAACTTCAGGATACACGTTTTTAATGTCTCGAATAACCCGACCAGTATCCTGTTGTTCATGTTCTTCGTTCCCTCGTTACGTGGTTTTATATCTCTAACCATCATCAACGCAGCCATAACCGGAGGGTTTGTTGCTATCTGTTCGAAAATCCGTCCGTTATGTACGGTATATCTAAATAATTTCTTTGTGTTTTGTTAAAACATTTGAAACAAGTCTTTTAAAACCATCTACAAAATTTCCTGTTTCACCTAATGTTCTTGCAGCATTTACAAGCTCACCCATTCCCGCTTTTGACCCCAAAAACGTCCATATTGCATTTATTTCACTCTGTATAGTTGTCCATTCAGCGAAACTAACACCCGCATTCGCTAAGCTGAAAATGAAATTCAGTGGATCGAACTTAATTCCACCTCCTTTTTCAATTTCAATGAACTCACTAACATGAGATTTTAAGTATTCTTTCGTTAAAATTGTTTTCCCCGATGTTATGTCATTAACGAAACTATCACCGTCAAAAGTTAACGAATTCAATTTCGTCGTTGATGCTTTTATTTCATACACCGCTTTATCAATAGTTTTTGGCTCACCTTCTTTAGAAGCATATGAAACATTAATGAATGAATTATATGTATTCGTGAATGAATTAAAATCAATGATTTTCATTAATGACGCCTTTAATGATTCATTTACTGTCGAATCCCTTAAAGTAATTAATGAACTGTCATTTATGAAAGGTACACTGCAAACCGTCGAGTTTGGATCAAATGCTGTAGTTGGTGCAGGAATATTAATGATATAAGTCATTAAATCATTAAGTGACGTAAATAATGTTGTCGTTTTTGATTTAATTTCTTTAGCATCTGTTATATATGGTAATTTTATTTCTGTAGTTTCTGAAATAAAGATATTCGCTAAAATGTTTTGTAAACTGTTTTGAACAGCTGTGTAAACCGTTGAATCCGAAACTCTTACGATTTCACCGTCCTTAATAAAAGGCATTGCACATGGTGTAGTGCTTGGGTCAAATCTTTTTGGGTTATGATTCAACATATATTCTAATGCTTCATAAACAGACCTATATACGGTTGTATTATCTTTTTCAATAATTTCACCGTCCTTTATAAACGGCATAGTACATGGAGTTAAAATAGGGTCAAACTTTTCATAGTCCTTCCATGTTATGTATTTCTCAGTATTTCCATCAGTGATAACAATATATTTGTCAGTAAGTGTGAGAGAGTATTGACCAAAATATAAACGTTTAGCTCTGTCAGCTTCATACGCATATGCAGCTATACTCATATTTTAATGAGAATAAAATGTTGTTCTATTTGCAAAGTACAGACCCAAACGAATACGGGACAGTAAAGCTACAAACAAACTTAGGTCTACAGAATGAGGCGCTTGCATTCAGAATGGTTGACTTCAATACTATCGCTTCATTCGTTATAACAGATGAAACAGATTTCATGGAGATTGAAATAGATGGAAAGAAGCACGAAATAAGATTTCACAATAATGTAGAATATAAGATGGAAACATTAGCTGGAGTGTTAAATGCTCTCATAAATACTACAATAAACAAGGATAACGAAGAAAACTTAATGAATGTTAAACTTATTGCAGGAGTTTTGAAGTTCAGTTATGCGAAGGAGTTTAAGATACCAAGAATGAGTCATAGAGTACAACTTCTTTTGGTGCATACCATATGACATTTCCTTTGAAAAGTGTTGACAAAACGATTGAGATGAAATCTGTTCCATACGTATGTTATGGTAATTGTTTATACATTGAGTCTAAAATAGCTAATGTCACAGGCATTTCAGGAGTTAATAGTAAAGGTTCAGTAGAATATAAATCCTTCTGTTATGCAGTCAATTCAATGTTCATTCCAAACGTTCCTGTCATAGCAACTCATTTAGGTAAATGGGTTCGCATTAGTCCTCATAATTTGAAAGACATGCAATTCAGACTTGTTGACTTTCAAGGAGAGCCTGTAGAACTGAAGGCACCAGTGCGAATGACTGTTGAAGTTGACTTTTTAGAAAATATTAAATGCAACAGCTTACAAGAGAACTCAGAGCTAAAAATATAAAGTATGAATGTTATGTATTAGGTCATGAACTTTGGTTGTTGCTGTTTGATGAAACAAATGAGTTAGTTATGTCAGTCAAGAGAACAGAAAAATATTGTGTTAGTGAAAACTGCACCAAGTCAATAAGATTAGGTTTGCATTATGAAGATGAGTTCGATACTGTTGAAGAAGTTTTGGATAGATATTACAAATTGCTAACTTGAAATTTTTTTTTGACTGACGGTGCAAAGCGCCAAGATGGGCTCAAAGAGCCCTCCTGACTGCTTTAATTTACTAAAACATATTTCAAACAAAGTTTATATTCTGTTGAAAGTTTTGTATACTCGTTCGAATATTTATACTTAAACTCAACTCCTGTAGTTCCTGGTGTTTCAATGATGCGGATGTTACCTATTTTCATGAATAGTGGAGTTTGACCACAGCATTCGATTTCAGGGTCGAGATAGTCAATGACACATTGTTTCCCTGTTATTCGTGAGATAACATTTTCAAGGTCCTCCTTTGTTAGAATTATTTGGTTCTTACTTATAAGATTTGTCAAAAGCTTCTTATCGTCTTTGAGTAAAATTGTTTGGTATAACTGAAGAAGGTAATAGTCTACGTTATCTGAAGGATTTGTTTGAACATTTGTGTAAGGATTGTCGTTGGCTTCTCTTGAAAGAATTTGGTCCAGTGGTGGATACTCTAACTTAACATCTGATGTAGCGTTAGCGTTTGAAGCTGAGTTTAAATTCACGGATTTCAGCTCTGGTTCTGGTTCTTTCAAACACTCTGAACTATAGTTCTTTATGACAATATTGTTTGTCGTTCGTGAGTCAACATTTGATGTTGGTTCAATTGGAACATTAACGGCACCAGCTAAGATGGATTTGCTTCTCATTTCATATAGAATAAAAACCTTTTATATGTATGAAATGAACAATATACTCGACAAGGGTTTGAATGTAAAGCTAACGAATGAAAATATTGTTGAATTCACTGAGACAGGAGCTGTGTATAAAGATGTAGAACTACTGAACAAAAGAGCTAAGGGAAGAAGCAGGAACATGAACAAAGGGTGGAAGCCTATAAAAATTTATGTCAATGATGGCTCAGGAGGTTCAAACATAAAGTATGCAGAAAGTTATAGAGTTTATGCTCTCAAAGGTGAAAAGCCTTCATTTAAGAACAGCTATTCTAACGCATATCCTCAAAAGCTAACGGATGGGGAAGTGGATGATATGAATGACAGCAAAAATATTAACAGAAATGGCGACAGAGATGCATGGAATTTGTTTACCATCAGTCAATTGAAGGTTAAACTTTAAAACAATGTTGGTCGTTCCCATGGAATATTTTTGACTTTAATGGTATTAGTCATGATATGAATCTCAAGGTATGAACGAGGAGAGATGAGAGACTTATATGCTTCCCAAATTTCTTCAAAAGGTAATGTTATACCTGACTGTTTCCAAATGAGTTCAATATCATAACGTGAGAAACCTTGAAGGATAACGAAGTCAGTTATGAGACGTTTTATGTTTAAAGCTAAAAACCTCCATGTTTGCATAAGTATTGCTACAGTTAAGTGGTAATGTCTGACTTTAGTAATGATGTTAGCTAATGGTGAGTCTGGTTTTGACACTAAACCTTTTCCGGCGAAGTCGTCACAAACGAGCAGAGTGTTTGAAGGATACTTTTTGAAGGGGTATTTTGAAAGTTTTGACAGAATGTAGTTTGTAAGTCGTTTCATATCGTAAACTCCTGAGTATTGACGTAAGTGGTGTTTGTCAATAATTCTTTCCATCTCCTCAGAAGTCTTTTGCATTCCTGACTGTATAAATTCAACGATGGCATAATATTTCCTCTTACGTCGAATGTAACGTTGAAGAAATTCAATGAGTTCACTGTCTGGAACTTTAACGACAGAGGCTTGAACTTTTGACATAAATGTTTTCGCTGTTGAGTCCATAGAGTCTGAAGTTGCTGATATAATGATTTGGTCATAGTAAGAGTCGTTTCCTAAACACTCTGTTATGAGTATATGACGAATGAGGTTAAATGTTTTACCTGAACCCATCTTTCCACAATAGAAATACACACCATTTGAACAGAACTCATAATCTTTGCTGAAAGGAAGAATAAGAGAAGAGTTAAGTTTGTCTGTAGTTTCATTCATGTCTTCATCTACGTCATGTATTAAATGCTTCATTTTATCTCCATTAAAAATGCAAGTCAGAAATATTCAGAACATAGCACCGAGTCTAACTGACAAGAGTATAAAGATATACTATGAACATGTTATGATGAAACCAACCAAAATTCAAGAAAGTCAGTATACTTATGAATATCCAAGACACTGGGTAGAGTATGTAGGAGGTGAGAAAGCTATTGAAATCAGACAGGTTCGAAGTATTCCAGCAGGAAGAACAATATTATTGAAGAACTTTAATGTTTTGAGATATAATGATGAAACAAAGAAGCAAGATAGTTTTCCTGTTGCTGTGTATGTGAACTTAGATACAGGAGATGACATGAAAGTTTTTAATACAAAGCTTCAAACGGTAGTGAGAGAACAACTGACTGCGGAAGGACATCCATTACCTTCAGAAGTTACCATAGCATATAATTTTGAAACAAACTCAATAGATTTTAAAGTCGTCTCTGCAAAGAAGTCAGGTTTTACATTTAATGAAGCAGATGTATATTCGAATGAAAACTTCAAAGCTATTGCATGGTTAGATAATGACGATTGCTTTAAGAAAATATTTAAATACAGTGACTCAACGATGTCAATAGATGACCTTCGTGGAATGTTACCATCGACGTTTACAGTTGAAGGTTCAGCAGGATTGCTTACAAGATTGTCAATTGGTGGTATTTGGTCTCGTGAGAACATTGTTATAAAATCCAGTATAAGTGAATTTGCTGAAGAATCTATATTATGTCTTTCAAACTACATGTATTCGCCGCCGAAGCATTATAGTATAACAAACTTTGTCAGTAAGTTTAACATAAGACTTGTCGAACCTTCTTCAATGAAAGATGTTGTGCTACCTAAAGATGGAAAGGATGGACTCATTATTGAAATGATTTTAATAGCATATTAAATGAGCTTGTTCTTGAAGGTCATTCATGATGAAATAACTGTTGTAGAAGATGTTAGCAATTGTTCAGACATTTTGAAGCGTATAGATGAGATAAGAAAGAAGTTAGATAGACCGCAAAGTGGTGAGGGCGAAGCCCGTGAGAACGCTTATGTTTCATTGACTTTCTCCAGTAACGAGAACTTTTATGAGATAATATTGAAGAGAGATGATTTTAATATGGTGTAAATGGTAGCTTGGGCAGCTTTAGGCGCAATGGGAACAAAAGCATTAGCATTTGGAGCAAAAGCACTTGGAGCTTATGACGCAGTAAATAAAATGAGTGGAGGAAGGGTTTCGAAGACATTAGATGCAAATAAAGGGAAGATTGGAGGCTGGGTTGCAAAGAAGTTAAGATTAAATAAAATAGGGCTCATAAATAAAGCATCCAATTTGGTTGCGACTGAGTCAGAAAATGCTTTAGGAAAGGACGATGAGTTTGCAAAACACGCAAAAGACTTTAATGACCAGATGAAAGGTGAAACAATGCATTTAAATAGATTCGATGGAACTAAAGAAAATGTTTCTTCTCCACCAGTAGTTCTTCCGTATGGTCCCTATGGAATGTATGGAAACCCTTACGAAAGACCATTTGACCCATTGACTGGTGGAAGTAACTGGTATCATTACGGACGAAGAAGAAAGACAGTCAAGTTGGAGACAGACGTGAAGAAAGCAACTAAAAAGAAACCAAGGAAGAGAGTTATAAAGCAATGAATTCAACAGGGTGAAAAAACAGGTGAAAAAAGAGGTGAGATCTCACCACTTCACCTAAATTTATTTTTGTGCTATGTTTTCATACGTGTGAGGGTGGTGATATCATTTATTTTTAGGTTTATTTTTATTTTATTTTTTTTATAAATGACAGAACAAAAGCAACTCATACAAATCGAAAAATATAACAAACATACATTTAAACATTTATTCTTCCTTCCTGAGTATAACATGTTCTTTACACTTCATCCTAGACCAGTTGACTATACATTGACTGTGTATAAAGATTGTCATGGTAGTTTTATAAAAACTTATGATGATGAAGGTAAGTTAACAAGACTATGCATTTCAAAACTTGAGAAACTTTATGACTTCAAGTATGACTACAATAGAGTTAACATTGACGATGAAGATATAGAAGAAAATTTATGAGAACGTTTATTTTTTCATTAGTGAGTTCGTTAGTGAGGTGAAGTGGTTGGCGGCTTTGTAAATATTTAAGGTTAAGTTAGTGTTGTCATTTGTGTTGTAAAATATACGTTAGCGGTTTTGTAAAGTGTCAAATTCACATATAATGGGTAAGGTGGAACACAGTGCCACCATACCCAACTAACCCATACTAACTGAAGATCTCCCAATTAATCCATTAACTGGAACAAATTACACGCCAAATCAAATGTATCAGCTGAAACCGAAATACACAAATGCAGATACAGAAAGGTTGTGGCAAATATGGGATACAGATACAGGCATGACCGCTGTTGACACATTCACAGCGTAATAATAAACATAATTTTTTAATTTCATTTTTAACAAGTTTTTTTAAATGTATGTAATGAATAATTCATTAGAATATGATAATGCACATTGTAACAGAATAGAACAATCACCAAATTTTTTTTTAAATTAAAAAAATAAAAGTAAAAAGTATAAAGTAATCTAACCAAAAAAGATATTTAAAAGAAATTTGGAAAAAACAGAATAAGGATAATGATATTATTTTAGATACACAATCGATGTACTGAAGAATAATCCGGTAAAATGATGATATAAAATTAGATTATTTTACAAGTAGGTAAAAGAATAAAACTATAATATAAAATAAATGAAGTTTAATGAAACAATAAAGGTTAAATAAATAATAAAGATTTTTATTTTATATCAGTATTGAGAAGAAGTAACAGCTGACACTTGGTAGACAACTTCTTTATGTCTAGAAAATTCTATCTTGCCTTTTATTTTTTTCTCGCTGTGAAACGTATTCGGTCTTTTTTTTAAAAATTAATTTTTTGTTAGAGATAAGAGCTAAAACTCGGTAAACAACTTCTTTATGTCTAGAAAATTCTATCTTGCCTTTTATTTTTTTCTCGCTGTGAAACGTATTCGGTCTTTTTTTTAAAAATTAATTTTTTGTTAGAGATAAGAGCTAAAACTCGGTAAACAACTTCTTTATGTCTAGAAAATTCTATCTTGCCTTTTATTTTTTTCTCGCTGTGAAACGTATTCGGTCTTTTTTTTAAAAATTAATTTTTTGTTAGAGATAAGAGCTAAAACTCGGTAAACAACTTCTTTATGTCTAGAAAATTCTATCTTGCCTTTTATTTTTTTCTCGCTGTGAAACGTATTCGGTCTTTTTTTTAAAAATTAATTTTTTGTTAGAGATAAGAGCTAAAACTCGGTAAACAACTTCTTTATGTCTAGAAAATTCTATCTTGCCTTTTATTTTTTTCTCGCTGTGAAACGTATTCGGTCTTTTTTTTAAAAATTAATTTTTTGTTAGAGATAAGAGCTAAAACTCGGTAAACAACTTCTTTATGTCTAGAAAATTCTATCTTGCCTTTTATTTTTTTCTCGCTGTGAAACGTATTCGGTCTTTTTTTTAAAAATTAATTTTTTGTTAGAGATAAGAGCTAAAACTCGGTAAACAACTTCTTTATGTCTAGAAAATTCTATCTTGCCTTTTATTTTTTTCTCGCTGTGAAACGTATTCGGTCTTTTTTTTAAAAATTAATTTTTGTTAGAGATAAGAGCTAAAACTCGGTAAACAACTTCTTTATGTCTAGAAAATTCTATCTTGCCTTTTTTTTTTTTCTCGCTGTGAAACGTATTCGGTCTTTTTTTTAAAAATTAATTTTTTGTTAGAGATAAGAGCTAAAACTCGGTAAACAACTTCTTTATGTCTAGAAAATTCTATCTTGCCTTTTATTTTTTTCTCGCTGTGAAACGTATTCGGTCTTTTTTTTAAAAATTAATTTTTTGTTAGAGATAAGAGCTAAAACTCGGTAAACAACTTCTTTATGTCTAGAAAATTCTATCTTGCCTTTTATTTTTTTCTCGCTGTGAAACGTATTCGGTCTTTTTTTTAAAAATTAATTTTTTGTTAGAGATAAGAGCTAAAACTTTGCAGACAACTCCCCCATGTCTAGCAAATTTAACATTCGTCTCCTATTTTTATATATTTGGTTTAGAATGTTCGAAAATGCGTAATATGGTCATTAATATTAATTGAAAAGAACCTTGAATTAATTCAATCTGATCTCACAAAATATTTTAAATTACAAACTTTGTAGTTTGAATAGATAATTAGTATTAACCTCAAATAACTAGTTTATTTTTGAATAAAAATTATTTGAATTCATTCAATTTTGTGAATTTTCCTTCAAAAATCAAGTTTAAATATCTTATTTGCCATATAATTATAAATACAATGAAACATATTCGAAATTGAAAAGAATGACTTTTTCTGTTCTTTCAATCATTCAATTTGAATTTTGCAATATTGGATTTCCCATTAAATAGCTATTAAAAACAACAAGCAATTTAACTTACATTTAAATTTATTTGTGTTATATTCAATCTTCTCAAAACTTATAATTTTCGGCTATAGCATGATTATATGCTATATAATATAATAAACCTATAATAGTATCATTCTTTCAATTATTTGAAGAGAAAACCGAAAAAATCTATTTTCGGTCTATAACATTCTCAAATTTTGATCGCATATGAGAAAATCAAGAAAAATTTTATATTTGAATATTACAATTCTTTCTATAATATGCTAAGTTTTCATAAGTTGAACATAAATTTCTTTTCAGAATAAATCTCAAAAGTGAAATATTTATTCGTTTACATTATACATATGAGAAATTATAATTATTCAATTTCGATTTGAATTACTTTCAATTTCATTTTTCTTCAAAAGTTCCAATTAATGCATTTTAATATGGTAAAATTCATACGTCTTTACAAAATAACTGAAGTCATAAGCAAAATCCTTTTCCCTTTTTTTATTGCTGACTATAGAATAGCAAATATTGTTACTAATAATTAATGAAAAAGCAACAATAAATTCAAATATTTTTTTCAAAATTAATATTGTTCATTTATTCATATGTTAACAATTATAATTCAAGTATCTTTATTATGTCCAAATAGAATTGAGTCTTATAAAAGTTCAAAATTTAAATAAGAATAATTCTTAGTATGTTTTAATCATGCATTACTTGAAAGAGTATATTGTTGATTATCATGAATTGAACTTTATATATATTCATCAATGAGATGATAGATTATATATTACTTTGAATAAATGAACATTGTTGATAGTATTGTTCATATTCTTGGTTTTCTGAAACTTAGAATAGATTATGACGGTTTGTCTGATAGATAAAACAATGCTATGCAATATACAAATGAAAATACTTAAATCAGGTGCAATCAGAGGATATTGCTCAACTTCACAAAATATACTCAATAAACAATAGGCAGCTAGCTCGAAATGCTTTGCAAAGAGTGGCGGGAACTGCCAGACCCATTATTATTGGTAGAATTTATATTAAATATAGAAGAAAATATCAAAAATCATAAATGTTTTGATGAAATGATTGTCAAAATGTGTGAAACCAGATCCCTTGCTTTAAAATGGGAAATTCTAAATAATGTTTAATAGATATATACTACTTGCAAGCTCTATTTTTACTGTAATGATGTAAGACTTCAAAATAACGGTTTTTTTGAAATAGATAAAATCTCGCAAAATTATGTATAGAGGTGTGCCTCCTGTCGTCTCTAAATATCTTGATATTGAAGAGCGAAGGAAGATATACGGATATCACGAAGAACACCTTTCAAAATCAAAACCAATAATCGATACTTCGCGTCCTCCTGAAGTTCCACGCCTTATTATACATGAAAGGAATCGTGCAATATTGCGAGAAAAACAAAAAGCTAATGATTATTCGAATTTGTACTATGTTAGAGATTTAAGGAAGTCAAACATGCGTGTAAGATCATTAACATATGGTGGATCACAAACATCTAGAGATGTTGTTTCCGAACCATCATGGCTTCAAACTCTAGAAATGTGCGAGAAAAAAGTTTCTTTCATTCCTGACAAAAGAAAGTCATCTACCATCGAAAAAAGAACGTACGTGCAAAATAAAGATTTGTTCGGTGAAGGAAACTCGAAAATACACGATGATGACGGATTTTCCGTTATTGACGAAATTCCTGTCCTCAGAACCTCAAGATCAAAGACATCAGCGCGAACCGCACGTAAAAGTCCGCCTCGTACTAATAAGCAAGAAACAACTAAAAACTCTTCACCAAAAAAGGTTAAAGTTACAAAAAAGAGCCAATCATCATTATCAATGAGCCAAAAGTCATCTCGATCTACAACAAAAAGTCAGCAATCTCATTCACCACAAAAAACATCACCTAAAAAGGTTAATAAAAAATCTCCTGAAAAACAAAGCGATGTTAAAGAATTTCCAACCCCACCACCAGAAAAAGTTGCAGAAGTTCCTCAAAACAATACAGAAATTGAAGAAAAGAAGCGAATTAATTTCGAAATGAAGAAGGAGCAGCCGCCAAAACCAACACCAGTTGAATCATTCTCTCTTACAGATGCTATCAATCGAACAATGAGTAAAAACCAACCACAAAATACTTCTACCGGAAATTTGGAACAACCTCAAGAAAAAAGCTCAGAAAAACTTCATAAAGAAAAAGAAGAATCGTTCAATAGCGGTTTTAGTGGAAGTTTTTCAACAGAAAACAAAGTCAATAAAGGAGAATCGGATATTCGTACGAATAGAAAGCTTGAGAGTGGACAAAATATGTCGAGATCAAACCAGGCATCTACGTTTGATAGTAGTTTTGCATCAAGCAAAGTTTCAGATAAAAATGAAAAATCATCAGTCTTAAATCAGCCTCCACCAGCTACTGATAAGTCAAATGATAATTTTGAAGATGATTTCAGCAATTCCCATCAAGAAAATCAATCTTCAAAGAAAGATGAAAATAATTTATTGTTAAAGAATAAGTCAGAGAGTTCTAAAGCGTTTGACTCTGGATTTGGTGAGTTTGAAGATGGAAATTCAGCATCAAACAAAGAAAAATCGGGAACAAATAATAATCACATGAAACTTTCATTAACTGAAGCCATAAACAGCAAACTAAATGCAGAAGATAGCCAGAAGACTCCATCTCTTTCACTTGCAAGCGAATTTGACAAAGCTTTTCAGTCAGAAAACCAAAGAGAAAGTTCATTGAAGCCAACGAAACAAGAAGATGAAAAAGATGATTTTGATGATGATTTCGGATCAAATACTGGTAATTTCTCTAAAGAAAACTCTGCAATTCATTTCGGAAACGATGAAGAAAAGCCAAAGGCAGAAGAACCAATGGATGATTCACTTGCTGATGCTTTAGAAAATGCAATTAGTGCTTCTTTATCTGGAGATAACTTTGAAGATTCATTCAACTAAATTTTTGTTATTGACAGAATGAATTTCTATAATTTGTTCTTATCTTTCATAAAATATAGATTTGTTTTATTGTTTCAATTCTAGAATTTTTTTTATAACTCAGCAAGTTACATTCTCATGAGTTCTAGAATCTCCAAGATTTGGAATAATTCTATCAATGAGTAAGATACTTATCTCAATAGCGCATTAATCACAGTAGGAATTTTAACTATATATAGCACAAAAAGACTTACAGTTGTCCTAGAATGCTCACTTTCTCTTAGAAACATCTATAAAAATAACTCTTGAAAATTCATCCGTATAAAACTATGTCTGATATCTGAACGAAGATATGATAAGATGAATACCTCTACTTTGAAACATGAAACACATTGATAAAAAAAATACAACGATGTTTAAAATATAATATCGATATAATTTAGTAACAAAAAAATAAAAATAAATAAATAAAATTCTAATATCTTTCTGGTTCTTTCATATTCAAAACTGATGGGTCAAACAAGGAAGTTTCTCTAAAATCTCTTGCCAGAAGCCTTGCGTATTTCTTTTCTTCTTCAGAAGTTGCCAAGCAGCACAGAACAATGGCTCTGATGACCTGTGATGGTTTGTCGTCGTCAGGAATTTCGACTTCTTGAATTGAGAGGAAATTTTTATCCGAAATTCTGCTTCCCCACTGAAGATGAGAAGTTTCGTTCATTGCCTTTGATCTGAGTGATTCATTCTCTATTCCTTCTGCAGCATTGATAACTGCTTTGAGTGCAACAGAAAGGAACTCTTTGAAGTTCTCGAAACTCAAAGTTTGGTTCAAATCATTGTATGTTTCCAAAAATGGTAAAAATGATTCAATTATTGCATTTTCAACACCTCTGAACACGGCAATGATGATTTTACTGCGGAACATTTGAAGGAGATTGTTGATCTGCGAATAATACTTTTCACATTCCTCTTCAATGATTTTTGTAACAAATTTGACATTTTGTCTCTCAAATTTGAACATTTTCCTCGTAAATGAGCCGCAGCTTGTCCAGATTGTATCAAATAATTTGTTTTTGACAACAATTCCGCTTTGTATTTCAAAAGATTTGATACAAAAATTAATTGAAGAGACATAACAATTTAACGGGTCAGAGATATCAGGGTCAACATTGTACTTCTTCTTTGTCAAGTCTACGAACTGTTTCCATTGATTTTTCATCAGAACAAAGTCATTTAAAACGACATAACTCTGAGGAATGGAAATTTCACGGGGAATGTTGTATTTCTCGTGAATAATTTTGTATGTCTTTGTTTCAATCAATGAAAAGAGCTGATTGAAGTACAATCTGGCCGTAGCAGAAGTCAATGTTGCATAAGAAGTCAAAATGTCGTTCATTATTGATTCGACGAACTGTAGATTATCAAGGAATTTAACAGTATCATTAAATATCCTGAATAAGTCGAAAACTGATGAACTTGCCAAATCATCTTTCATAATCACTGAAAAATCATCAACTTCTACAGCTCTTGTTGTCCATTCAATTAAACTTGGACCAAACTCAGTCAGCCAGTTCAGAACAGTCTTAACAAACAAAGTTTCCGGTGACATATGTTTTTCAGATCCGAAAATTCGCCAAACAGTGCGGTAAACACCGAGAAATTGGAATGTCTGGTCTGTACTTGGTATCGGATCGTGATTACAGAAGGATTTGGCGATGCTATACGCTATGCTGGCGAAATCTTTTCGAATTGATTCGGAATGATTTGCAAAATTAGGCAATGTCGATGTTGTGAAGAATGCGGTGAGTTTCTCTGACCTCAACAACATGACTTTCATGGCGTTTATCATTGATTTTATGTCGACATCGACCCAAGGAATTCCATTTTTGGAAATAACAGGGTCAAACTCCAAATTCGATGCAACAGAAAATAGTGGCATTACTTCACTTCTCGCCTCTTTCATTGTTGGTACGAATTTGAGTGTATTTATGACAGAATTGAAAATATTAACAATTGCGTCACTCATAATGGACTGAAAGTACTCTTCAATGGTGTTTGGATCATGGATAAATGAGAGTATGATGAGTAATTGAGTAATAGCTGGTTTTTCGATCACATCTGGTTTAGATAACGCGTTCATGATCAATTTTGGAACTTTATTCTTTAGGGATTGGAAAATTGATTCCAAACTTTGCTGTTCCTCATCAATAACTTTGCATTTCTGAGTTATTGCGTAACAAGTTAATAAAATCGGAACAAAAGCTTCCAAAAACGATCCAGAGGATGTCCAGCAGATTTCTAAGTCATTAAGTATACGGAAATAGATATAAGAAACCGGAATTCCATGCTTTAATGCGAAATCTACAATAAATGTGTAAAATTGAATCGGAGGCTTCTCTCCCATGTCCTTAAACCACTCATTTATCATTGCTGATATAGCAAAGTCAATGCAATTGTCGCTGGAACATTCAGATCCGAAGAATTTGTGAGATAATGGAATTCTATTTTTCAATTCAAAGAAAGAAGTGTCCAAAGAGTAGATGATTTTGGCTCCATTGAACTTGAATTCACCATCTCTGTGTTGGTTTGTCATCAATGATTGAAATTCAATCTCAAAAATTGGATTTTTTTGGTCATTGGCCGTAGTTATTGAAATTCTTCCTCCTGATTTCTCCACGGCAGGAAGAATCATCTCTGTTGTGACGTCTTCAAGCGGAATTGCGATTTTCTTCTTGAGATAATGAATAATTGCGAAAAGTTTGTTGTTTTTAAGGATTTCTTGGGTATTCGCGTTGAAAGAAAGCAAAATCAATGCTTTTCCTTTCGGATTTTTGTTGAAGTAATATTTCGAAATTTGTTTTGATGTATAGAGCAAAATTTGGATTGCGTCTTGACGGTAGCCGACTGGATCGTCTTCCATCTGCTTGTCAGTGTATATCCAGTGCTTGTCGACCATTGCGGCCCTTTCGTGAAGGAATAAATCTGTTTCAACAAAATTTTTGTATTTCTTGTAAGAAGGACATGTTTTTGGCATTTGGTCTTTCTTAAGATGAAGTATACTTCTGAAATTGTGTCTTACTTTTGTTTCTGTGATTTTGGGTTGATGATAAATGGATTTTAAGAAACAAGCTTCGAAAATCTGGTAGAATGAGTTTAGTTCATCGCCTTTCAATGTCGTTTTGAGGTATTTGACCAGTGTATTTCGGAGATCACTGAAGGTATTATACAAACAAAGCTTTGGTGAGTTAAATATGGCGTATTGGTATAATTTGGATAGTTCTTTTTGCTTGGAGTCTTTAGTATTAGGCATAAACGCAACCATATCAACGAATTCCACCAAAAACCGATAAAATGTATATGGTGTTAATGGTTCTGAGTATAAATCATCTGTTATTTTAGGTGTGTCGGAGTATCTTGAATAGTATTGAAACAAATATCTAAAGTTCATGGATTGGACTTCAAATTTTTGATAAAAAGTAAGTCCGTTCGCATTGAGAATGTATGTATTTGGATCTATAAACAATTCGTACAGTTTATATGAGAATGAATGGAAAAGCATGTCGACATTTTTATTTTGATTTATTAAAACTGGCTTCGACAGCATCGACATTCCTTGATATAGAAGGCTTTCTTCGGAATATTGCTTTTCTTTCAGCGAAATATTATTGTAATCATATAAAGTTACTTCTAAAAAGTCGTTTATGTGTTTCATATCATTTCTGATTAAAAAGAATGCAAAAGTATATTTATTTGTGTAAAATATCGATTTAGAAGCCGTACTAATGCTAAGCTTAGCTAAATTCTGTGAACATCTCTTGATCTAGGATTGAATGATTTGAAATTAATTATTTGAAACTAAATTGATCAGAATATTATGGGTAGTAATCAATAGTAAGCGTTAATAACTGATAATATAAAAAATCAACGATCTTTTATGAAAAGTAGTAGATGAGTGCGGGTTGTGTGACTTTTTTTGTTGCATCTATATATAGACGATGCATTAAAATATATTTATTTATAAATCATTAAAAAATTAACATTAATTTTAAAATAATTTATTTTTTATCTTTTATAAAATAATCTATATATAGATGATGTCAGATATTCCGCGATTAATTAAACATTGTTTAAATCCTGAATGGGTTAAACTTCAATTTAAAAATGAAGATTGTGAATTATTAAATGAATATGAAAGCCAAAATAAGCTAATGAGGTATAAATATAATGATAAAGAATATTTAATTTCATGGAATCAATGGAGTCATAATCAAAGACCTCATAAACGAGAAGAAGAAATTGAAAATAATGAAATGGAAATCATTGATGACATTAAAGAGGATGGAATTCCTAAATTTTGTAGAAAAACCTTTAGAACTAAGTTAGGAGCATATAAACGTAGAGTATTAAATCCTGAATATCTTAAACATCAATTTAAAAAGGAAGACTGTGAATTATTAAACGCTAATGAATATGAAAATGCAAAATCAAAACTGAGATATAAATATATTGGAAGTGATGAAAGGTGTAAAGATAAAGATAAAGTTTATTCAGTTTCATATAATAACTGGCACACGTTAGGGATAAGAAAACATTTAGGAGATTATGGTAAAAGTTCTGAATTCTTCAAATCTAGTATGTACGAGAGAATAAAAGAAATCAGATATAATTATCATTCATGAATGAAAAATAAACTTCTTACGAAAAATTAAAACTTAGTTATGTTTATTATTTTATTTTTTTATTTTGTATGAAATGAGTGTCAAAACTAACAACGTTAAAAAATTAGGATTCACAAACGAGGAAATAAAGGATATATTAGAGGAGGCGGGTTATGAAGTTAATAAATATTATTTAAGAAATTGTCAAAAATTCGCAGAGTTTTTAAATGATTTAGATTATGATGGAAAAATGAATAAAGATGATGTTATAAATTTTTTATATCCCACATCTGAAGAAGAAAAACCTAAAGAACCTGATGTTTTCCCTGAATATTATGAAGAACGGATTAAAGATGATGAATATGATGAAATTGAAAGACTGGAAAAAATAAGAGATGAAATAGATGAAAAAATTAAGGAATTAAGAGAAGTTGAAAAATATAATGAAAATGAAGTAGAGGGTTTAATGAATATCCCAGCTTCAGAATCAGCAGTTCAAAAATCTCATGAAGAAAGATATAAAAATTATGTCTCAGAATCAACACAAAATTTATTAGATGGTGAAATAGACGAAACACTTTCAGAAGAAGGTACTAAATTTATTCATAAACATAAGTTACAATTTATTGACGATGGAGATTATCCATGTATATTACTTTCACCTCCTCTTGATTCTGAAAAATTCAAAAAAGCACTGAAAAATGTAACATATGCAACAAATACGATTAAGAAAGAAGACCATGATATTTACACAAATTATTATTTAAATAAATGTACAGGTGTTGATAAAGTTTTTGATTTGTTAGATAAAATATCAAAAGAAACAATTGGTACATATAAAATTTTATGCGATTGTGGTTTCATTATTGAAGATACCAATAATGTTTCATATGAAAGAACAGCACCGAAGGAAGACGAAGTTGAAAAGTCTATACCATTCGTTATTAAGAACATAAAAGATATGAAAACTTATAAACATTATATTTATTCATTTATTTCAGAAAAAATGGAAGCAACCCATAAAACATCATCTCATCATTTTATAGCTATTCATACATTCCTTTTCAAAGTTGTGAAATTAAATAAGACAGGAATTAGATTTAATGTATCAGGGTACGCATTCTTGAGTAAATTAAAATGTATTCGTCACGTCGCAGATGATAAAAATTTATGTGTTCTTAATTCATTTTATGGACTTTAAAAAAATAAACTTTATTTTTATTTATTTTTTAATTTTTTATTCTTACATAAATGAACAAAAATGGAACAGCTAAAATGAATGATAATCAAATTAGAGCAGAAGGTAGAAGGTTATTTAAACGCTTCTATAACATTCCTGATGGTGTTAATCCTAAAACTCGTAGAAGTTATTTAAATGAAGCCATAGATGCATATGAAGGATTTGACATTTCATCAGAAAGTGAGAGTTAGCAAGAATGTTAAACGTTAATATTGATTTTATTATTGTGATCCTCAACCAGAAGACGTAGACATAAATAAGGTAGACTTTCCATTAGTGGATCAATAATGATAGATCCAGAATTTGAAACAGTAAATATTTTATTAACACAGAGTCCATGTGGAAAACTTCACGCTGACAGAATAACAGACGTTGAAGCACTCACGGATATAAAGTTTGTCCATTTGTAAAGAAGAAGTTTATTCTATCCGATGATCCAGAAAGGAAAAACCAAAGAAGATTTTTAAAACATTGTGAGAAATGTAAAGAAAATAATGGAAGATTAATTCAAGACGTTCAATTGCAAAACACACAACAACCATATGCACCACATATCACGAAACAGAAGATATATCAATGGCTATTAGCTCACAATTTGCAGGAATATTATAAACCAACAAGATATTATATTACTTTTGACTTCGAAACATTAGAGACTAAAGAAGAACTTCAACTTTCTGAATGTGCAACTTTGAACGCTTACTTAAAACCATTTATGGTATCATCAACTGTCAAAATAAAGCCGCAAACGGACTCTTTGAGTCCTGAAGGTCTTTCAGACCGAAGCGGCGAGGTCGTAGACCATGATAAAACATTTACGAGGAATTTTTGCTTAACATCAAGTGATTCGTTCATCTCTGATTGGATTGAATTTTTATTTTCAACCTGTTCATTAGTTGCTAAATCAAATATTGAACAATATGAAGAATTAATGAAGCCGCAAACGGACCAAACGGCGGGGACTTTGTCCCATACATTAAATGAAAAACAGAAGGAAGCGTTTAAAGAACTTCTAGATGAGGAATTCAATAAAGTGAATATCATAGGTTTTAATTCGGGAAAGTTTGATTTAAATTTAATTCTTCGTGATTTAAACACTGCAAAATGGAAAATAAAATCAATGCTGGGTTCTTCTTCTCAATTTAAGCAAATCATTGTAAAGAAAACAAACTGTCCATATGAATTAAGATTTATTGACATCAGAAATTATATAGCGGGTGGAACATTAGACCAATTCACTCAAGATTTCGGAAACAATAAATCACGTGTTAAATCCTTTTTCCCTTATCAATTCATCACATGGGAGAATTACGAAGATGAATTATATAAAGTGGAACCATTCACTCAAGATTCATTTTATTCAGCATTAACTCAAGAAACAATATCCGATTCAGATTATCAAATATATCTCAATGATGCTAAAAATTTTAAGAATAGATTAGAATATTTTATTCATTATTGCAATAAAGACGTTGAAATTATGATTGACCCAATTGATAAAATTATTGAAGAAACATTTGTTTATAAAATTGACATGCTTCATAATCTTTCTTTATCATCGAATGCATCAATGATTCGTTACGCGTTAGCATATAAGAACTTCAATCCTAACGAAACATATCCAGAAGAAGAAAATGTGGAATCAAGTTTTGAATTAACAAAAAAGTATTGGAAATATAAAATTGATTCATATAAGAAACAAGATGAAAAGCAGAAAGGATACTAAAAACAATGTTTCAATGGATGACTATCAATATTTTCACGATTTAATCCTTTCATCTAAATGCAAAATGTGTGGTAAAGCGTTTACATATGCTAATAAACCAACATTAGATAGAATCGATAATGAAAAACCACATAAAAGAAAATTGTCAGTTAATGTGTTGTTATTGCAATGTCGTAAAATCAAATAAAGATGAGGATGTTCAACGTTTAAGAATCAATTTAAGAAATTATACATTAAAAAATAATTTACCAATGACTCTAGATTCAGTTGAAGCGTATCACATCCTCCGTAATGGAATTACTGGTGGTTTATCAAATGTTCAACATAGAGTTAATCTTAAAGGAATCACACACATTAATAAACTTTCATATAATCCAGAAACTAAAACTGTATCAAATGAGGACACCACCAACATCATGACTCATTTCGTTGGTGTTGACTTTAATTCATTATATCCTTCATCATTTTCATCTAATCCTCATGATTTCATTCAATATACTGACCATAAAATGTATATGCCGGGAAGATTGAATGGTGTTATCATTTGTGATACAGCAACAAAGAAAGCAAAGCACTGGGAATTATTAAGAAGAAAAATACTTTATTCGTGGCTGAAGTAAAGGGTCACATTGATGAAAAATACATTAATGATTACATAAACTTTTTACCAATAATAAGAAACTTAGATATTATCACAGATGAAAAAACAATTGGCAGTTTTATGTATAATTACATGAAATCAAACAATCTACCAGTTGACCAGAAACAGAGAAAATTAACTCAGTTAGCATCAACACACAACCAATATCAACCATTTTCTTCTTATTATCTTTGGTATCTAATAGACAGATTTCATTTTATCATTGATGATATTCAATCAATTTTAACATTTACTAAAAACACTTGTTTTAATGAATTTGCGAACGAATTTATGAACGAAAGACAAAAGGCTGAATTAGAAGGAAATAAAGGAAAAAGTTTATTTT